AACCCATATATCAATTCTGTACTGATAAGTAAAAAGGTCTTAAGTTAAAAATATCGAGTATTTTAACAAACAAATTAAGGTACTAAAAGTATTTTAAAAAACTGATAAAAAGCGACTGAATTTGAGAGTTAATTTTAAAATAGAGATAAAAATCAGTCGATTTCTATTATTTTTTTATTGATTTTTTAAGGTATTAAATATGTATATACAAAATATGTAGAACAGTATTATTCTTTTTTACTATTATATTATACTTTTCTTATATTATTATACTTTTTTGAGGTATTAAAATATGTATATGTATATAAAAAAATATGTATAATAGTATTATTCTTTTTTTTACTATTAAACAACACACACACAAAACAACACTTCTCAATACGTAAACAAACTTCAGTTTTTATAGGTTGACAGATAAACTCTTTAAAACATGGCGGATTCTCACAGAAATTTTAATTGTGAAAAAGCTCTTTGTTTCACAGCTTGTTGGTTGGTGTATTCTGTGATAGAATTCGCATAAAACTGGCAATTCTGGCAGACGTTCTTTCATTATATGTTTCATCCTAACGGTATTGCTCATTCTACTATGATAATCTTTCTTAATTTTTAAAAATATTTAGATTGTTAATACGATAACAAACTAGTATAACACAAATTTTTTATGCACCGTGGGCATTAATAGATGTGTATACCTTTGGGCGACTTACAAACACTTGGGCCAGGAGCCCCCTTGTTTTTAAGACAGTCGCCTTCTGTCATAAACATCCAATTAATGTCCTCGGTACATAAATAACTACTTTAATACTTATATTTTAAACAAAATACTTCTTAGGATGCCTGTTCGTTCCGAACGTTGGCGATCATTCTGGCTATGATGACTTTGTTGGTTGCTATACGGAATAGTTATGTTGAGGTCTTTCTGTACTAGTCGTGGGTAACACCGTAAATCTTTGATTGTTGATACAATGACATTGACACAGCTGCTTGTATCAATCAGTACAATGGATCAGCACAATAAGGTGTCATGACACCCTGTTTCAGTATCATGTGTTGCATAGTACAGAAACACTGCCTGCGCCAGTGTTACATTGAGCGAGAAACGTGACCCTTGATAAGAATTCTGAATATAACTATGCACATAGTTTCCAAATTGTGGAATTTCTTTAAAACACACGCTATCAAAATGACATTGGTATACTTAAGTCACTTTTTTATTGCATGAACTAATATCAATATTAAAAAAATTATGGTGTAAATTAAAAGAAAACATTTTTTCTCCCGAGGTAAATCAGTACGTTTTAAGCGAAATTTTGCGATATTTACTCGTAATTTTTTTTTCTTCTTTTATGAGGGGGTGATCCAAATGTTCGAAACATACCACTGTCCTAGAAGGCGGCAGAACCGCATTCCAGCCTCGGTTATGCAGGACTCCTTCAGCGTGGCCACGATGATATCCGAGGCCGCTCGCTCGGGTTGTTCGGACAACATCGCCGCCAATGCCAGAGACCTACCTGCTAAAAAACACCCTCGTCAGCGGTGAATTACCGGCCGGATCGCCCTGATTGGGACGCAACCTCGGCACATCATTCACCCGAACTTTCATTCACGCACAATTCTCACGCACTTTCTCGCTACGACGGACTTCTTCTCTCCCTCTATTCCTCCTTATTCATGTTAAATCTCGCTCATTCTGCCTTATCTTCTTGCTTGGTCCTGGACACCCTGCCTATCTTCGGGTCGCCTTTCTTCTTGTTCCTTTCTCTCCAATGTTTTCCTCACATATCTCTGAACTGCTCTCCACCGATCTGACGACCTAATCATCTCCTCCACCAGTTCCGTGACTGATTACACCCTACCTCCTAGCTCTCTCTCAAGCAGGCTCCTCTCAACTATCCATCTATCGCATACCAATAGAGTGTGTGAGACAGTCTCCGATATTTCACAGTACAGGCATTTGTCATTTTCTGCCTTTCCAAATCTGTAAAGGTATGCCCTGAAGCAACCATGTCCTGTGAGCATCTGGGTCAGGAAATTTACTCGTAATTGGTTCATAGATTTATAGTTATAGCAAAACAATTTTTGGGGCATTTCACGGAAGTTGAAACTTTACTAAAAAAAAATGAATTCCTTATAGATGTTCATTGTTTTAATTGCCGACTATAAACTTTCTTCACTTTATTAAGTAGGTACTTTTACAAATATACTCGCGGCAACAACCCATACTATATAAATAAATTTGTGAGCTTGTGGGTATGCTGTAATTTATTTATGCGTGTCGAAGATTAGGTATTGAAAACAAAAACTGACACTATGCCGTCTGAAATATACACTGCGTATGATACTGTATCACAAAGGTATGTGTTTTAATACGCTGTGTTGGTGTGTTGAACTGTGTCATAGGTGTCACTGTGTCATTTCAGCTGTATCAATACAATTGACATACTCTAAAGTGTGAATACTAGAGTGCCATTCAACACAGTATTACACATCTCTATTCTGTATTATGCTCTCAGGTTAGCAAGCCAGAATATTCTTCTTCGTTCTGAGGTCCTTGTTCCTTCAATTTTACCTTACAAAATGCATTGGAATCGCTCGTATCTGCCTTGATTTCTCATTATATGCCCCAAGTAATGCAGCTTACGGCCCTTCGCGATGTTGACCAAATCCGCGGTTGTGTTCATTCTTCGTAGTACTTCTTCATTGGTGACTTTGTCTGTCCATGGTATCTTTAACCATAGTTTTGATAGAATTTCGGCCTTCAAAGTCCACGTGTCTATTCTGTACAGAAGCACTGAGTACACGTAACATTTAAGGAGCCTTATTTTTGTTTTTAGGGTGATGTCAATGCTCTTGAACACAGAGCTCATAGTCAAGAATGCACTTTTTGCCTTTCCGATGCGGCATTTAATCTTTTGGGTATTGTCCCACGACTCATTGATAATAGTTCCCAAATAGTTGTACTGTGAGACACGTTCAATTCTCATTTGTTCACATACAGATTTGCTCCAGTTATGTTTTCCTTGCTGATGGTCATTAGCTTGGTTTTACTGGTATTTATATCCAGTAGATATATTCTAGTTGTTTCCGTTATTTTGTTCATTCAGCTTTGCAGCCCTTCCATGGTATTGGAAAACACTATTCTATCATCTGCTTACCGCAGGTTATTGAGCTGGACTCAATTTATTGAGAAGCCTTCATCAATATCTTTTAGAATCTCTTCAAAAATGTGCTCCGAGTACAGATTGAATATCAGTGGTGAAATTATGCCCATGTCTCACTCTCACTTAAGATTTTGACCTAATCTGTATATTCTCCATCTATTCGGAACACCTCTTATTGATTCCAATACAGGTAAGCTATTATTTTTAGGTCTCTTCCGTCAATCCCTATCCTCTTCAGAACTGCCATCATTTGTTTATTCCTGACTATCGAAAATCTTCTTGTAGTCAATCAGGCATGCAAAAACATCGCAGCTGACATCTCTACATTTCTGAAACAATACTTGCACGCTAAATAAAGCTTCCCTCGTACCAACGATTTGTTCCTCACATTTCCGGTAAATTCTTTTGTGGATTACTTTTATTTAAAAACAGCTTCATCAGATGACTCATTAGGCGTATGCAAAAAACGTTATATTATTAAAATAATTCAATAAATTATTGTTTTCTCCCAGCGCCACCTGCTAACGTATCAAGAAAGTTAAGCTGTATATTTAGTCTGCATTGTTGCCAAGAGTACGTTGTTTACTTCTGACATGCCTGTCAAAGTCAGACTAAATATTAAATTAATAATAAAATATAAATAAATATTAACTAAATAAGATATTTAAAAACGAAATTTGAGGATAGTTGGAAATTAATTTATGAAAATTGATTGAAAGATTAAAAAATGAATGCACCGCCAGTATAAATAGTAGTGACGTTTTCGTGTTTTGACGATTCGCTCTGCATTTTGCTATAGAGAAAAACTAGTAAATTGTCAGTATAAAAGCTTCGCTTCCATGTTCGTTAGTTTATAAGTTACTTCTTCGGCAATTTTAGCTTTTAGAGCTCTGAAGAATATCAATTTTGTTAAATGATCTTCAATTTATTATGAATTTATAAGCATCTTCAGGTTAAATCATCTGATTAGATGCCGATTTTCGGGATCTGTTATTTCTAGTATAGGTATTTAGCTATATGGTAACTTATTTCGCCTACGAACTAAATTCGCCATCTGTTTCTAAGATATAATGTGAATAGAGCCATAAAAAAATTGTAAAAATCAGCCTCTATATGTTAAAGAAACTTTTCAAATTTATTCAGTTCTTGGGTAGAATTGCATTATCATCGCAAATATGGCTATGTCAATAATTTAGGTGAAATCAAGTAGTTATTATAAATCTATAGAATTCTGTTAGGTTAACAAATTACCGAAATACTGCAATTAGTCTATGTACCAGGTTTAATTTTTGTAACGTTGTCTATCTTTATCATTCAAATTAAAATTTAAATGTTTTTAGAAAAACAAGCAAATAATTACAATAAATTAGAAAATTTGACTATTTTATAAATTTTATAGATGAAATCACACCTTTTTTATATTTCCACTCATCCTATGGCTTTACAGCCCAATTCGAGCCCTGGTCTCCGTAAGCAAACCTCTCCATTTGTTACGGTCTGTAGCTATTCTCCTCCAAGATCGGCTGCCAAGGAGATTTCTGGCGTCCTCATTAAACAGTTTTTTTTTATGCCTCTTTTCTTTCATCCTGATTCGTCACTTTGTTGATTTTATTTATAGGGCCCAGTATTCGTCTCAGTACCTTTTTTTTTAAGATATCAATGTGGTTTAGTTAGGGAGTTAACCCTCAAGTTTCACATCCATAGCTCACTATCGGGGAGATTATGGTTTTGTAGATTCGTATTTTAGTTCTTTCATATTGTTTTATATTTAATGACATGTATATTTTTAAGTATTTGAAATGGTATTATATATTCCATTAATTATTTTTTCATTTATAGGAAAATATGGAGAACATCTTAAATGGTAAAAATATCGACGAAATCCCTGAGTTCCAACCAGTCACCACACCAAAAAAGGTTTTCCAAAACGATGAATTTCACTTTGGCCCTAATGCTGCTCCTTTTACTCCCAAACTTTTAGACCAATCTGAAGCTTTGTCGACTAAGGCCGTTTATGGCGATGAATCAACGGCCACTCTTGAGAGTACGTTTAATGACTCAAGTCAAGACTTGCATATTTTAAACAAAGAATCAGATCCTATGTCCATGTCCTTCTATGCAGATAAGGGTGAATCTAATCCTTTCGATTTAAATAAAGTTCAACTACTGCCTGATAATCTCGATGATTTCTTGAACAAACCGGATAACGATAATTTCAATGAAACCATCTCGGATTTACCTGAACACACACCTTTAGATGAGCGCAAAAATAACGATGACGCAATACAAATTACGGATTTAGATAAACAATCATATGATGATGAAAAAGAGCTTGCCTCACCTTTAGAACCGGAAAGAGAACTATTAACCACAGAAGAGACTGATTTTGCCAAAACTCCTGAACCTACACATGAAAATTTATTGGGAGAGTTTTGTTGCATACCCAAAAAAGAAGAACCAGCAGACCTACCCGCAGATGTAGAACTTATTTCACCCGTTCCAAACGATTTTAATAAATCAAGCGAAGCTATCGAAGTTAGTGATCTATTAAAATCCGATGTAGTGACTTTACCAGCTGACGTGGAGTTGGTACCGGAAGATATCTTAAATAAATCGTCTGTCCATGATGATTTGCCCAGTAATGAGTCCCCATTAACAGATCCAATTTCTGAACCCATTAGTCACAGCCCCCAACCGACACTAGAGGAGTTTGCACGCGTAGAATCAGCAGTAAGTGACGACTTAGGCATTTCCGAAAGGCCTATTTCATCTGATCTTCAAAAAGAACTTCTAGCAAGTCCTTTACCTGCAGCTCTTTCGCCAGAACCGCACAAAGAGGCTATTGGAAGTCCTTCTCCAAGTCCTCTTTCACCAGAACCACATAAAGAATCTGTGAGTCCTTCTCCAAGTCCCCTTTCGCCGGAACCGCAGGAAGAAGCCCTTAGAAGTCCTTCTCCAAGTCCTCTTTCGCCCGTGCCGCAGAAAGAAGTTCTTGAAAATCCTTCACCGAGTCCTCTTTCTCCAGAACCACAGAAAGACGCTCTTCAGCATGCTTCTCCAATTCCTTTAGTGCAAGAAACTCAAAAGGAAGACATTGAATTTTCGTCAGAACCATTTAGTGGAGTAGAAGCAGGAAGTACTTCCCCAGTTCTGGCACTAAACAAAGAAGATTTGCTGGCAAGTCCGTCTCCTCGTCCTCTATCATCAGAACCTCAAATAGATCACGTGGTTAGTTCATCCCCAGTTCCTAATTTGTTGCCCCCATCTCCTAAACCTGTTTGTAGACTTCCACAAGAATTATATCAAGGTTTGGAGGAAGCTAAATCTCCCGAATGTGATAGTTCGGATGTTGCTGATCCTGAACCAAAACCGGTTTCGCCACTACTATCTGCCGAAGCCAAATCTTCCGATTTCAGTAAATCAGAGAAAATTGATTTGTCCATAACTCCCGAACCAATACCAGAACACTTTAAACTTGAATATCCTGTAGGTGAGCCAAAATCTTCTGTTTGTGATTTATCCGAACCTAAATCTCCAATACAAGAAGTATCACAGTTCCCTGATTCTACAGAAGAAAAATTATTAGATGAAGCCCAACAACGATTCGAAGACTTATGTCAACCTATAGAATCTCCTGAAGATGTCACTTCTTCTGTTAAGGACGATTTATCATCCCCAGTACAGGATCTTCAGAGTAAATCACCTGTTGAAGATCAAGTAATTAATGATAGTTTTGTTAAAGAAGCTGTGGTTGAAGTTCATGCTTCCAAAGAATCTGAGGAACAGCAACCTCCTCTGATAGAACCAGAAATTCTAGAGGTAAGTATCAAACATTCCTCTTTCATTTTTTTAACAGAGAAAGTCTTGACAGCAAGCAGTTTTGTCTTCGATAATTCAACTTATAAAGTTTTTGCGTGGTGAAGATTTTTTTTAGCATTTTTTAAAATTACATGTTTGTTCTGTTTTGTACGAATATTGTTAGAACATGGATTTAGTCCTCATTAAAAAAACGACAGCACACATTAAGTATTGCGTCTGGTTTTCAGTGTTTATGTTTATTTGTTATAAATTCATATTTGAGAAATGGAAACGGGTTTGTATGAAATGCTGCTTGACACACATTGCCGTTCAACAAATGAATCACGAGTACTGTAAACTATGACGATAATTAATTTTGATAATATGCCGAAAAAAAATAATTCCGTTCGCTATTCCATACTTGTATAATCATGATTATTTTAAAAGAAAATCGCTTGTTCATAGATTTTCTCATAATATTATATTGCCTGGGATGTAACATTGTAACAAACATCACTGTTTTATTTTCATAGCCAATTCCTGCAAATCTTACACATATGGATATTCCCGAATTGGTAATGCCTCCTCCAAAAATGTGTGTCTACCCATTGAAGGTACAAGAACTTCCAGAAATTCCACTAGACGTAAAGACTGAAACTATTTCTCCAGAATTCGCCGAACCAACGATGGTGACGCCGTCCGAAGAGAGTAAAGCGGACGATTTGGTTTCTTCAACATTAGGTAAGTTGTCCTTATTAATTCTAAAATTAGATTTTGCTATAAGTGTGACCATTTACGTAGGAAAGTAAGCAATGACATCCCCTAATATATTAGTAATTACTCTAGCCCGATATAGTGCTTGGAGTTAGTAAAAATACAATAATCTGGGAATTTATTTAATAAAAAGCGAGAAACTGAATAGCCGGTAGATAATTGACATAGTGAAGTTACAGTATTAAATGTTCACCTAGATTACAGGTTAAATATATGAGGCAAGGCAGCTGTATCTGGAATTAACCGAACTAGCGTCGACGCTATTTTGAAGAACAATTTCTATCCATATAAAAGACTCTTATCCATAGAACAGAATGCCGTAGAAAGCTTGAGAAGGTCGAGGCCCTCTAAGGGCTGTAGCACCAAGATGATGATGATAAAAGACTCTTGCAGGAACTTAAAAGGGATGATTATGACGCCGCGCCGTTTACAATTTAGTGAAATAATCAGTAAGCGAGAATCAACAATGATGATCATTTGATTTTTCAACAGGACGGTGCTCCCCCGCATTACGCTTTACTTGTTCGTCAATATTTAGACCAAAATTTTCCACAGCATTAGATTGGGATGAGAGGCAGTATCGAATAGCCTCCTCGGTCACCAGATGTGACTCTTCCTGGATTTTTTTGTGGGGTCACCAAAATCTATAGAACACCGCCCGTATCTTTAGAAGATTTACTAATGCAAATTCACTCTGCAAATACTTCGGAATGTGGAAGAACGTTTCGAGTAAACCTTATCATTGTATGGACGCCGGAGGTTATCAGTTTCACCATTTGGTCTACTAAGAAATAAGTAACCAGCTAAAAATATTAATTTTAAAATTTATTTTCTTTGCTTCTAATAAATCAAATAAAGTATTGGACCGAATTTAAAAAATATAATATATAGGGAATTACAAGGGCTTTCAAACGATCTTATTTGACTCCCATTTGGGGGTAAAGTAAAATAATCGAAAATACTGGAAAAATGTGTCCCCAATTAATCAACAATGTTGTAGTTCCTAATGATGATGATCCGGCCACATCTTTTAAGGCCCGTTTTCACGCTACGTCTTATTGTACATTGTGTTGGTCATATAAAACGTACGACAAAACGTACGTTTTGTCCAGTGTATACACACTATTGTTTCCTTCCGACAAGACGTACGTTTTGCTGTTTACATGCAACGTTTTATTGTATAGGATTTGTCCTATCCAACAAAACGTTACAATAAGACGTAGCGTGAAAACGGGCCTTTATAAATACTTTCCAATTTAACAACAAAATATTTTGTAGGTAACAAGTTATCGTACTCTACCTGTATTTAAAAAGAATATTAAAAAACCTGTTTAAATTTTAATTCAATATAATTACCTACTGTGTCTTTTTTAAACCATCGGCCCGCAAATACTTCACATGTTGGTTTTTAGATTATTGTATATTTTGTGTAGTTTGTGATTTGTGTACCTATGTATGTTTAGAGTAAGATTTCGGTCAATTTTTCTTGATGGTAGGATTTCTTTTTGTATACTCCTCTAAAGTAATGACATGTCTGATATTCTGCATTAAAAATTAACAAATATATTTCATAACCAAACAAACACTTTGTTTAAGAAAGCCTATCTTGAACTCGTATACTTATTGACATTATATATTTTAAGTTTATTTTATTTTACCCATTATGTCGTATATTTATGGTCCACGATAGGTTTTTCTCCCGACTCTGCGTTTTTCTTCAATTTTGCCTGTTACTAGGAGTTTAGGATGAAATATTTTTGATTGCTTAATAGGTATCCAAGTTATACCTAATTCCACGAGGAAACTAAGTTCCTGTAGCTGGCTGTATACCATATATCACAAAAAGGTATATAAAAATGCCCCAAACGGGCTATCACAAACACATTGCAAAACGTTTTCGGATTAATCAATCCATCATCAGTGCAAACGATTGTACATGCTAGTAGCCACCAAAATATATGGGTCAAAACCCTTTAAATGTTTTAAAATTGTAGTTGTTTTACATTATTAGTAGTTATAATTTGTGATGTTTAAGTTACCGTTGGATAGGTAACATGGCGGCGTATGACTCTACATGAGTAAAATGGTACTGAGACGAAGTGTCTACGAGGACCTGTTGATAACAACATGTTGTTAGTTGACAATGAGTTGTTATCAACAGGTCCTCGTAGACACTTCGTCTCAGGACCATTTTACTCATGTAGAGTCATACGCCGCCATACCTATCCAACGGTTAACTTAAACATCACAAATTATAATTACTAATAATGTAAAACAACTACAATTTTAAAACATTTAAAGGGTTTTGACCCATGTATTTTGGTGGCTACTAGCATGTACAACCGTTTGCACTGATGATGGATTGATTAATCCGAAAACGTTTTGCAATGTGTTTGTGATAGCCCGTTTGGGGCATTTTTATATACCTTTTATAAAGGATTTTAAACAATTTTTTTTATACCTAATGTTTTGCGGATTTTGTTCCATTTCTTTGGTTACACGATTGAGAATCTGTTTATTTGTTATATGGTCAGTCTAGGGTATTTTTAATATTCTCCTAAGTTCACATCTCAAATGCCTTTGTATAACATAGATGGCCAAACATAGCATTTAAGTGGTTGTATCCTAAGTTCTAAATAATATGTGGGTCGGATAGTAGTTCCTTCATTTATATGAATGCGCCTCTTGCTGGTTTAATTTTGCATTTAATCTCAAGATTAAATGGGTCCAGTTGTTTGTTGATGCAGCAACTCAGATGCTTTATTTTGTGAACTTATTCTAAGATTTTACAATTTGATATGATCTAAAAACCAAAAAGTCAAGTACTAGGACCATTTGTAAAATAAGATTCGCATGAATTTTTAAAATAGATAGCTTTATTTCTGTTCTTAGTGTTACACATAATTTTAAAACTTTCGCCGTTTCTACCCAAACAATTTTGTAGACGATGCTCCCAACTTTTCTATCATCATGCTATAGAATTCTACCGCCAATTCATTGAGGAATCAAGTAACCTTTTCTTTGACTTTATCATCGGTACTTAAGCATAAAACACCCAAGTGTTCCTTTAATTTTGGAAATAAGTGATAATCACTTGGTGCTAGGTTATAGGATTAGGGTGGAGGGGTGGGGCACAACAGGCTAGCTAAAATCTCTTAACAGTTGTTCAGTTTGATGTGAGACATGAGGTCGAGCGGTGTCATGGACAAGCCTCACACCACATGAATTGTGGTGTGGGAAGTCTCAGGAATTCACAAAGCAAGGTCGTTAATGGTAAACTTTTGATCTTCAAGCAATATTCGTTCAAATTTTTCAACAATTTAGTCTGAAACTGAAATCCTTCCGCTCCAATCTTTGTCATTTTTCGGTTTTCGTTCACTGAATTCACTACACCATTTGCGAACGTGTTGAAGATATGCACTTTTCGCCATAAACTTCGATTAACTGACGATGAATGTCTTCTTCCTCTTCTTCCTTCTTGTATGTAGGCTTACATCCTGTTTCTTCTTCAATATTTGCCTCCTAAATTGTTTAAATTATCGCACCATCTTTTTCTTGGTCTGTCAATCCTTCTTCGTTCATTTGGTGACTTATCTCGTGCTATTCGTACTATCCTATTCTCTGCCATTCTACTAATGTGTTCGCTCCACTCCTGTTTCAGTTTTGTCATCCATCCATTTATGTCTTCTATATTGCATGCTCTTCTTATGTTGTCGTTTCTCTCACTATTCAACAGACTTTTCTTCGATATTCGTCTCGGAGTATTTTCATCTCTGTTGTTTCTAGTAGTCGTGTCGTTTTAGATGTGTTAGATCTTGTCTCCGCCGTGTATGTTAATATAGCTCTAATTGCTGCTTTATAGATTCTTGATTGTATGTCTTGTCTTAGGTGTTTGTTCATCCAGATTTTGTCATTAAGAGATCCCGCCGCTTTACTTGCTTTTAAGCTTTATTGTCGTATTTCTTCAACATCTCCGTAACTAGTTATATCTATTCCCAGGTATCTAAAACCTGATTGCTGCTTTTTTATTTTCACATCAATTTCGATTTCGCATCGTAGTGGGTTTTAGATGTTGTCATACATTTGGTTTTTCTGCTGATATTATCATATTGTATTTCTTGGCTGTTGTATTGAATATGTGTCTTATTCTTTGGAGCTCGTCTTCAGTCTCGTCGATTAAAGCGGCGTCGTCTGCATAACATAATATTTGGATTTCTTTGTTTTCCATTCTGCAACGGAAGATCTTAGTACAGATCTTCCGGATCTGAATCCTTCTTGTTCATCTGATAAAGTTGTTAGTTCATGATTTTGTTGGTTAGGACTTTTGTGGTAAGCTTAAGTCGGGTGTTCAGTAGATTTATACTTTTATAATAGTTGGGGTCTTCTTTGCCTCCTTTCTTGAACATTGGTATCATTATGCTGCTGTTTCTCCATGCCTCTGATAACTTGCAGTGCAATATTAGTTTTTGTATAATTTTTGTCATCTCTAGGGTTATACTTTCTCCTCTGTGTTTTGGAATCTCGTTGGTTATTCCGTTTGGCCCTGGTGACTTTCTATTTTTGAGTAAATTTATGGCTATTTCTTCTTTCTGAAAACTGATTTCTAGTTCGTGTCTTAATTCAGGTACATTATTGTGTTGATTATTATTTTCCTTTCCTTTAAGGAGTTCCGTCAGGTATCTTTCCCATTCGTTTGCTGGTATGTTATTGTATTCCTTCAATTTTGCTATTTCTTTTGTTGGTTTCTTATAAATCTACATATTTGTTTTTGTGTACCGTATAAGTCGCTTTCCATCCTTGTTGTAAACTGTTCCCAGTGTTTATTTTTTGTTCTTCTTACCAACTGCTTTGTTTCATTTCGTATTCTTCTATAGGTGTCTCGGTGTTCTCTCGTTTCTTTTTACATTTTTTTTATTGTTTTCTGAACCATGGTTTCTTTTTTTCAGTATGACTGCTTTTTCCTAGAGCTTCTGTTGCTGATTCTTCAATGTTGTTTTTAATTTTCTCCCAGCTCGTGTTTATATCTTCGATGTGAAGGTCACCTTCAAAGGGTTAAATCCGTTTTGCATTTAAAAAACCTATCAGCGCACTAATTTCGCATCTGACGGTAACAGCGATCGAAAGCTCTATTTGCGAAGGCTGCTAGGCCGTCACTAAGTAATACAGCGAGGCGGTATTGGTAGGGGAGAGAGAGGGAAAGTTGATGTGTATCTCCAAAAGGTCACCACTTTGGTCTTATCCACTGTTTATTTTCATGTTAATTTCTGTTATAGTAAGATCAAGTCTCTCAATCTGATTATTGTTACACCTTCTTGTTTATTTTCAAACGTTTTGCTGAATATTACTTCTGAGCACAAATTGAATAATACAGGCGACAACACACAGCCCTGTCGTATTCCTCTATTAATAGATATTTGTTTTGACAGATCAATTCTCATTTTTGCTGTTTGCTGCAAGTACAGGTTTTTAATTAATCTTACGTTTTCCAATACCCTCTAGTAATTGTAGAAGTTGGCCGTGGTTAACTTTATCAAATGCCTTCACCAAATCAACAAAACAAACGTAAACATATTTTCTTTGATCGTGCATTTTCCCATTTGTAATGCTGCAAAAGACTTCCCTCGTATTCAATCTACTCCGGTAACCGAACTGATCTGCAATTAAATTTATTTCACATTTTTGAAATATGTTATCTTTATAGAAATATAAAAGCCAACGTGAGGACAACTAACTGACTTTCGTCCTTGTGTCCGTTAGAATGCTTCTTATAATGGACAAACTAAAATTATACATCTGATATTAAACAATAAGGAAAAAACCAAACGTTACAAGCAGAACTAAACCCTAAAATTATATCTTAATAAAGCTTTCGCCAGATATCTTTATACATTTTTGGATTATTGGTCGTAAACCATATATTTGGTAAATTTTTCGTTACGACTGCCTGTGAGGAAATCATTCTAAAACAAAGTACAACTAAGTTAAATAAACAATTATTGTGTTTTATTTCTTCAATTACCACTTCATTTTCAACATTTTTAATTTTGATTACAATTATTATGGTTTAGTTCCAGAATAAATATCCTAGTCTAAAATTTGCCATTCAGAACAGCGTCAGAATCTAATAATACATATTTGTTCTTTATGTGGTTTTGCCTTATAAAGATTGTTGTGGTCATTAATGTAGGCATTTTTTGAACTACAAACCCTGTACATTCATTTGGTAAAATATTTTATGAACAAATTTGTTCCGTTTTCCGTAATCATTTGGGAAAAGAATCATTTATTAATCTCCGAACTCCTTATATCTTTCCACTTAATTTTGCAAATTATAATTTCGTTTTTACGTTTTTATTAACAGATATAATGTTTTAGATGAAGCTGTCAAAGAACCGTCGACGGAAGAACAGAAAATGGCTGAAGAGTTACAAAAAGAAATGATTGGTATCGGTGTTGTCTCTGCAGTAGCTGCCGGAGCTGCCATCACAGCTGTTGTATCAGCAACAAAGGCGGAAGACAAGAAGAAGTCTCCAAGGTATGTAACTTATAAAAATTATATCCAATATTTTTAGAACTATTCAAAAACTTAGGGAAGCAATAAAAAAGCTTTGATAGCTACTTTACAATGGAACCTCAATTTTGTTAAATTCCATTTGTTTTGTGCTTGCTTGCTGATGCGATATGCTACTATTACCGATCACTCTCATATTGCAAATTCGCTCCGAGGGTTAAGAAAGTGTCAAAGCAAAATCGACTGACCTGCTCATGGTGGCGATTGTTTGAAATTTTATCAGGACGCTTTTGTGAATGGTACAATGAACATATTCATTATACCATGGATGTTGATCATTGGTTGATCATGTATATATATACAATACTAAAACGTCCTCACAAATCTGACAGCGTGTCACGTGACTGTAAATAGAGGAGAGACCCACGGAGCGAATTCTTTTACCGATTTTTTAAATTTTACCGAATATTAATTTAGTTTGACTGATTAACTGCTCTTCTGTAATTATGTATACTTTCTGTTCTCACCTTCGGTCCTAAAGGAAAACATGGAAAAAATAGTAAAGACCCAAAGGGCCATGGAAAGGCAAATGCTGAACATCAGGCAAGAAAAAAAATACTTGGATCCGCAACAAAACAAAAGTGACCGATGTATCAACGCAGATAGCAAAACTTAAGTGGAAGTTCGCTGGACATACCATAAGACAGAAAGACGACAGATGGAATAAGATGATTATACACTGGAGACCATATTATTATAGTTACAAACGAAAAAGAGAAAGACTGCAAATGAGAGATGGTCAGATGACTTGAAGAAACTCGCAGGTCCAAAGTGGATACAAACTGCCTACAATAGAGAGACGTGGAAGAAGGAAGAGGAGGCCTATGTCCAAAATTGGACAGCAAGGGCTGTATAGACAGATAGAGATACTTTAACTGTTTAGGACTTTTCACGTTATATTCACCACTAGTTTTTCGAAAAAAAAAAAAAAAAACAAAACCGGACTAAAAACAATACTGACTATATGAGCAAATCGAAATTTTGTAAATACATTTTTCAGCTTTTGGTTTCTAAAGGTTTTGTTATGAGTTTAACGATCAATTTGTCAAAAGCAAATATATTATCACTAACTTATGATCTAAAATACAGTTGAACAACATACCAATTGTAGTAGAAAGAGGTGAAAGGAAGTGTGTTGAATGCACAGTGCTGCAATTTAAAAATAAATTGGATCAATTACTGAGATGTGAGAGGTGTTTTAGAACTCGTTTTCCGTGGTCATTCTTAATCTGCCCTCAGATTTTCCTATCACTTACAGATTTTTCGTTAAATCGTTATGTAACTTTTTTATAAATAGACAGGTCTGCTATTGTGGCTCTGCTTAATAAATGAAAATATTAAGACAAAGAAAATAAAAAATCTTACAATTACAATTAACAACTGTTACAAATTAAAAACTGACTCTATTTTAATTCTCTACGCTATTACACAAATTAATATAATGTTACTTGTCATCGAGTCAAAATAAACTTCCTCTTTCTTGAGTTACTAGATGTAGATTCCTCTGGATTACAGTCTCTCTTGAGGTTATAGATGTAGTCAGCCATCATAGTAGTAATTCACCTTCCTTGATATCATTGCTCCATTAATTTAATATTTTGATATCTCCCTCTGTTCTTCGCTTTAATCTGCTGAAGTATCCGGGAAATAGTCCAGGTGCGAGTAAAGAAACTTGTTTTACACTTATAAGACATTTACATTTACTTCTTCTTTGTAATTTTGAGTTTTTGGTTCCCAAGAAACCTCTTAACTAAGGAGACTAATTTGGAGCGCCTCCATTCATTTTTTCCCTTGGTATCCATGCATTTTTTAAAGTCAGTATCCATCAATTAGTTAGCGAATTTGAGGACCCACACAAATGCCATTTTTTATTTTCTTAGAAGTTATCTTACTCATATACAGGAAACATCCTGATTCAACGCTTTCACGAACTAGTTCATTAGCTTTTCATTAAACCCAGTTTAAAATGTAGCGCTGACAGCAAAACATGTTTAAGGTTTGATAATGGACTGTTCATGACATCAAGATTTCACTGTTTAGTGAAAGTCTTTCTCTACTATCGTAGTCACAAAGAAAACAGAAATTTAGTAAATCCACCTTGCAAACCTAGGAGAATATAGATGATTTTGAAAGCTCCATAAATTAACCAGTTGTTTTTCTCATATTCAATATTTTCGAAGATAATTTTTATGCGAACATCAATATGGTGTGACATTATGTCCTCTATTTTTCCCCTATATGTGTGTATGCTTCTACTTAAAATAATTTTACAGCATGGTTGAAAATTGTGCTGTTTACAGCAGAAAAGCAATATGCTGCCAATACCCTCTCATTATCTTGGCCACTCCTCATTTAAATAATAATCTATTTCAACTTATCTTTAGCCAAAAATGTTTTATTGCATATTTTAATAATCCAAATTTTAAACTCTTTCTTTGATTATTAACTTGAGATTTTTCACATATATTTCGGAGAAATAATAGAATTTAGCTTCCTTATTTACATTTCTTACGGTTTTCCTTAATTTTTCACCAGAAGTTCATCTTTAAACCCATGGCTGTTAGTGTACGTGTTTTTTAAGACGTTCTGAAACATTTTTAGATATATGTTTGTAGGATTGTTTTTAAAACCTAAAAAATACTTTTTTTGCTTACCAAATGTACATACTGCATATAGCTCATGGTGCTATTTTTTATTTGCAATAGTGCTGCTGCTAAAAAACCTGCAAGTCCCAAAACAATGACAGCCAACAAGAGCCCAGCTGTAGCTTCTAAAACTACATCAAAATTGACCCCTACATCAACCAAGCAGGCTGGAAGCAAAACACCCGCAACAAAAGCTCCAACACCAAAGATTGGGTAAGTATTTTTGCTAATTTATGTCTTGCACACGCTATAAAGAAGACATCAATTGGTGTGTTTATAATGAATATAATCAAGGAATACTTCTATTCCACCTGCTTGCATCTCATTAAAACCTGTAAAATAGTTTTAATTACAGAATAAATAATAGTCCCAGGTGAACCCTAATAGACAGTGCGATAATAAAAACTGCTTCAAATATTCGCAATACCCTTGTACGTATCGTTGATTTATGCATTTTAAAACCTTATACATAAAATAGTCTCAGAATTCCATCATTTTATAGGTATCATTTTTTCACTTTTTAGTTTTGTCGGTTTATCAGACATAGACGAATATTGAATATACGGCCTACCCAAAATTGACAAACCCCGTATTTCTCTACGTCTCATTGTCAGTACATACAACTACAACCTTTTGCTGAAAATGCTTCATCCTTTGCCAAAAATTATTTTCATTTGATCGAACTTATGAACAGTACCCTATCTCATCGTTCGACATTCTAGCGAGTTTCGTTATCGTTTCACGCTTTACAAATATTCTCTAAAATAGGCAAAACTCTAAACATTCTGAAAACTAAATACAGTATCCAGCAAGACCACTTATCTCTCATTAAACATTGTATGTTCAACACTTATTTCATCTTCCAAAATCAATTCTACATAAAAATAAATGTGTCTCAATGGGCTCCCCACTATCCTGTAGTAATTGCCAGTATCTTTATGGAAGACTTCGAGACCCGAGCACTATCCACATCAATGCTCAAACCCACTTGTTGGATACATTCATCATTTGGCCTCACGGCAGGGATGTTGGTGGAATGGAGGTGGAAACTAATTCTTCCCTACAGTTTCTCGACGTTTTCATAAATAAACACCAATCCCACCGTTTTTATGACTCTGTTTATTGAAAACCCACCCATACCAATCGTTATTTGCATGCCAACTCTCATCATCCACCTTCACAAATTAATTCAAACATTAACACCCTTGTCTCCAGATCTATACGCCTTTGCGATGATGCGAGTAGATTCGCTAACCTCTCCAGTTTAAACAAGCTCTCATCCAAAACGGTTACCGCGAAAATCACATCAAGAGGAGCATCAACAGACATCAATCTCCCACTCAATCTTAACCCAAAGACTCAGATCCTCATCATACGATAGCTTTTCTTCCTTACATCAAAGATGCCACTGACAAAATCGACAAAATTCTTAAATCACGAGGAGTAAAGACTATATTTACCCCCAAACAAAAACTTTTATCTCTTGTCCGATCAATCAATGACAACATTCCAAATGAATAACTCAGGAGTTTATGAAATTCCTTGCGCAGACTGCCCCCGATCCTATATATGATTCTATATAATTTCACCTATAGGTCAACACCATCTTCATACAGATCACAAAATTGATTTTGAAAACTCTAGAACCATAGCCCCCATCCGCTTCTATAAACTAAGAATTATCCAAGAAGTCATAGAAATTGAAAAAAATGTCAAATTGTCTCAATAAAAGACATGACTGCATACAGTTACCTTTGACATGGAGACCTCTCAGAAAAATATTGTTTGCTCCACCCGCCAATCAAAATCCTGTCAGAAATGTTCGCGCCAACTCCCACGCCTTTATCTCTGTATGTCCACCTAGTGTCTTCAATAGGCAGGTCATGTATTTAGGATGGAAGAAAACAGGCTTTCAAATAAAACTGTTAATGCAAGAATGTAGGGGAAGAGACCTATTGGAAGACCGAGACTGTGATGGGAGGATGATGTAGATGAGGATTCAAGAAATTTCCTTGACAGTCTATCGCACCGGAGAATAGCTATAGACTGTACCGAACAGAGAAGTTTTCTGAGTGATGCCAGGGCTAGAATTGGACTGTAGAGTCATAAGATGAATATTGTGTATATTAGTACATATGTATAATAGTATATGATGAATACCTGTATCGTAACACATGTTACACATCGTAACACAATACAGGGGGTAATCTTTCCACTCTTAACTATTTTTTGGAAAGTTGCCCGCTTATGATATAGAGATACTTTTTCTGTCCAAGCTCTTTTTATTTGTGCATATTGAGTCCAAACCTTAAAATGTTCCAAAATTAATAAAAAATATTTACATAAATTTTCAAAAAAGTGCTCTAAGTTTTCATTTTATAAAATATGGTTGATATGAGTAGTGAACCTTTGATACATTGCAAAAATGTATCAGCTCCATGTTTATATCTTATACTTCCAAATATGTAGGTGAGACTTCAGAAGAAAGCAACTATATTGCAACAGTTAGGCTTTATTTAACCCTGCAAAGTATTTAATCAATGGTGCCTATCAAGTATTTCTGACACTGTAATACACTTATTATAAATTAAGTGTTAAAATATTGTTTACTTATATATTACATCTTTTACATGAGACCTTTTATCTTAAGATAATCTTAAAACATTATCTAATTTAAAATACAGCATTAATTTTGATATGTTTCTTTAATTTGTGTTTTTTATAGATTAACTAAATCACCTGCAACTACTACAGCCGCCCCAAAAGTTAGTCAGAGACCCACATTATCTAAAACACGAACAACACCAGCTACAAAAACAGTTCCACCAAAACCGGCAGATAAATTGGCAAATGGTGATGTCAAGAGTACATTTAGGAGCACAATGCCAGTTAAAAAGACAGTTTCAGAAACAAATGGCACCAAGACTTCAACTTCAAGACCAGCTACTGCATCTAAGGTGAGTGTTCTTAAATTGTTTAATTAGTTTTATTGGATTATGATATGTCATACATACGGTAATCTTTTCCTAATCGTTCCTTCCATGTTATTTGGCGAATTTATTATGAGTCAAACAGTTTCTCCATTGCTTTATTTTTTTGTGTCGAAGAATGTCTAGATAACATATTTTCTCAGAGGGAATCGGTGTCTCACTTATTTATCAATTTTTCGCTTTTATCAAAAACGCTACAATTTTTCTTCATTTATGCTATACTTAAGATGCTCCAGTGTCCACATTTCGAAAACACCAGTTCAGTTTTTTGTCGACGCGCGACGCTTGACATATAGATAGATTGGTTTCTCCATGTGTTCGGGGGTAACACCATTCCAGCGGACTTAAAATATCCTGTTTGTTGCGCTTGCGCGGAGATGGAAGGAACTTAGGAGCTTGCTTGCGTGTCGGGTGAGTTTTGTTTAAGTGAGCTGTTTAGGTATTAGTTCTGCATGATATCGAAGCGCCTGTTAGTTTGTCTTCCACTTCCTCAAATATTCCTACTTACGCAGTGACGGCCAGACCGTCGGCATATAGGAAATGCTCTGAATACCTGGGTGTGGATTGGTCGTTTGTGTATATATTAAAAGGATGCCGGCCATGATGCTACCTTGTGCCGAGCCATTATTTTTTCCTCTCCATCGATTTTTTTATATAGAATCGCTTATTTTGCAGCAAGGATTGGACTTTATTGGATTGGATTTTTAGTCAATGGTAATATTTGAGTATATCATAGAATTTTGTTAACAGCCTTACTGTATCGTAGGCCAGTCCAAGCTGTATCGTATCCCTTTTCTATGTGTTCTGTTAGGTTGCGAATTTGATTGGTGCATAATTTACATAGTATGAACCCAGCTGGTTTTTACACCATCTCACTATTATGTATATCTATTGCGTATGGTGTGTGGTTCGTCCAGTTTGTTTACTTTGTGTCTATTTTCTTCGTTGAATGTGTTTTCGTTATATAGATTTTCATATTTGGCAAGAATAGTTTTTGATTCTTCAGAAAAGCTTGATATGAAATGCTGTCTATAACCTCACGATATGTGCCGCTACGTATATTACCTTGACGTTCCCCAAAAATGTATCCTACTTCTCTAGGATAGGGTATGTCTATGATATACAGAAGATTGATGGCATGTCTATGTTCTCTGCGAAATTTTTTCATTTGGCTGTTTTGAAATTTAATCTTTCACTGAAGATGTACAGCTCTTTAATGTTGGTGTTTATGAAGCAACTGTTTTGCTATTAAAGGGACAGGGAAACTTTGGTCATGTAATAATGCGAAAGAAGATATTGGCTTTGCTATAAATAAATATACCCACTTACGAAGACTAACCTCTTTTTTTTATGATATGTGGTATACAGCCAGCTACAGGAATTGTTTTCCTTGTGGATTATATCCATTATTGTTTATTTCACTAGACGCCCAAGAGGTGTTGGATCTATTCAAATATCCCATAACGAACTGGGTTATATGGTTTAACCAGAAACCTATGGAAACAGTCTAGTTATGGAAACAGTGCTGATGCGCTGTCACTTGTTTATCATCCTAACTTCAACTTTCTAAATCAAACGAAGGTATACCGATATTAAAAAAATAGTGTTCGGTTTAAATCTATTACACTAGAAGAGATTATTAAATATTCCACACTTACTATTGGATGGACAAATGCTTAAAATTTATATTAAAAAACTACCATCTAAGGTTCAACCTTCTTATTACCTCTTTGCTTGTAGAATAAAATAAGTATGCACTGTTAAACTCTATTGTAAAAACACTATTTTCAAAAGTTAATATTTCCTAATTTTTACGTTGTTGTAAAATAAAATAAAGATGTAAAATAAAAAATCTATCAATAAAAATCTGTATATTAGTAAATCCATTGATCATTTTGTACTGAAAGGAATATATCTAAATTAGCATGTTTTGTGTTGTATTTTAGGTAAGCTTGAGTCAAAAACCGGCCGCCAAACCAGCTACTACAGCTCCAGCCTCTAAGACGACCATTCCACCACGTTCAGTACCATTAACTGCTAGATCTGCACCGACTGCAAAGAGACCAACGACTTTAACAAGCAAAACCACCACTTCAACCTTGTCTGCAGACAAAACGTCAAGCGCAACTAAGGTAATAAAATAAGCAACACAATAATGCGATGTAGAAAACGTATATTGCTCTTTTTTCTGGAAGCCGTTGTGTATACAAGTTCAGACGCATATAAATAAATAAGACATTACATTTTCATTTTGTTTATTTTATAATCATTCTAGTTTATAGAAGTACTAGATATTGTTGATTAATATTTCATTATTAATATGCGACTGATACTAAACTCTATTGACTTATTGTTCATCTTACATTTATTCATGATAGTCAGTTTTTACATGGTCTAATAATGAATGGGTATCTCGTTTTTGTAGTGACTTGTAGTCTCCAAAAAGTATTTGCCACCTACAGTTTAGTTCCTAGTAGTCATCAACCTGACCTGTTTTTTAAAACATGAAAAGCATATATAAAAAATATCTGTTTATTTTAGCCAAGTTTGACGAAGACCTCTCCAAAATCGACCAATGTTCCTCCAAAGACGACCTCAACCTTGTCAAAACCAAGAGTTCCACTAACAAGAACCGTCGCCAAAGCACCTCCAGACACAGAAAAGCAAATCAAAGAAAGCGCCAACAAAATAACGGCGTCACGTTCCGTTACTAGCGCTAAAACTGTTGGAGGATCTGCGTCTACTGTGAAAAGTACTTTAGCTTCCACTCGCAGAGTTGAAAGCAAGGTAAGATTTCATTATTAAAATGCTATATTATCGTATCATTAATTAAAATATAAATTCATGTTAGATGTCATTACCACCACTAGCATGGTTAACAAGCATCCTGTCTTTAAGGACTTATTGTTTAGGACTGTATTTCTATTGGGGATTTAAATTGGTCTCTTGTAGACAAATTATGTCTGGACAGTTTTCGGCAATGATAATCTGTAGCATAGCCAAGCGATGGAAGAATCCATATCTATATTCCATTGTGTTATTGAGTTGAATGTAAGAAATAAAAAAATAATAAAAACTAAACGATAGCTGCTAATAAGTGCTGGTTTGTGATGTATCACTTTCTAATTCAGAGCCCACCTCTCCATAATAAGCAAATATTTTTTTTTTTCGAAACTATTTTACGATTTTTTAAATATTTTTTTGTTTAGTTAGGTTTGCTTTTATAGACCTTTCTTTTAAATAGGGACATATTTGTTTTAACCTGTGAGAGAGACCTAGCAAATCAGAAGTGAAATCCTTAACCGAGATTATGGCCGGCAGTGTTGTCTAGTAGGAGGGCTAATTGTTCAGTGTTCAGTAGAAATGGTGGTTCGTGATTATTGATGAAGATTTTGGCTGGTTCTATCATGGATGAAAAGGATAAATCCTAATGCATTTCTCTTCTAGTTTTCTTTGGCTTTTTTCGAGTTCATTTTCAATGTTTTTGGTGTTACAAATAGGCTTTCTTGGGGTGCAGTGTCAGTTTCTGTAGAGATGACTTCATTTATAGAGCGTTTTGAATGCGTTTCTTTATTTCCTGTTTATTCTGTATTTACATTGGTTAATTCTGACTCGGTATGTTGTCAGAGGGTGCTTTGGTGTGATAATGGAGAGCTTGGTTAAACAGCGACATTGAAGATTGGCTAGTCTCACTGGCAAATGAAAATAATTGGATTGGAAGCGTTTCTGTTATAGTTTGTGCAGTCAAATCAGCTATAGTTGTAATATTAGAAGTTGTAGAACTTAATGGAGTTTGTTATATTTCAGATATATTTGTAGGTTCGGTACAGGCTGCTGCCACGTCCCGGTTTCTTACATTTAAAGCAAATGTTCTCATCTTGTGAAAAGAATACCGTGTAGTTTGTGTTTTCGAATGTTATTGTTATGGAGTTTGGGATGGTTAAATTTTGAGGACTAACATATACCTGCTGTCTAAAGCTTAGGATATGGCTATAATCGGGAAGATTTGCTCCGATTTTTAGAAATGTTATGGGAGATACAAGATTAGACCGATTTTAAGTAATCCTTTTCTTGAAGAATATTATGTGGAATGGTCGGGCATACGTTTGACATAACAATTCTTTCGGCAGGTGTTATAAGCCGTCTAGCTCTTAAAACTTCTCCTCGGATAGTGATTTGCCCATGGTTATCTAAAAACTCATCTGGGATATTTTTGTTGGCAAGGTACATGCAAATTTGGAAAAGGCGGAAGGCAAAAATGATATTTTTTGGTTGAATTACATTACCAATAAGAAGCACACAATTGCACTAAACACTAGTGCTTGTTCTTTATTTAGTCAAATTTAAATTGATTGGTCACTGCTGAGTAGCTTTTTGGTACATTTCTTTTATGTTGAGGTAATTTGGAATCAAGTAAGCATTACTTATATCCATGCTTGCTTAATTATTTTAGAATAACATGTGTTATCCGCAAGAGTAAGTGCGGTCCTGTCAACCTCGATTAAAAATTTCTTGGTCAATTTTATATTATTTGTATATACAATAAAATGTTTATTTGTTAATAATTAAGTGAAATATATTATCTCTTTGGATCCTTACTGCCTTTTTTTATTGATATGCACAACTTTCACAAAATAAATCAGATTATTGCCTTGCACTTTTTGCATAAATTACGATCGTAACTAAAACACAGGTTAACTTGTGCTCAGTCAAGACCGGTCTCCATTAAATTCTTTTGGTGCTTCTGTTTTCTCTCTTTCTCTTCAAACAGTTGGGCTATACATTATATCCATCTCTGCATTTTCTAATTTATATCTGTTATAAGTGCACCAGTTTCATCCCTTTGTTGCCTAGTTTGGAGTATTTTTCTCATTCCTGTTAGTTCTCTAATTCTTTTATGCATGTTTAATTGGATTTTTTGGTTTGAATGATTTTCTTTGGAGGTATACATTGGGTTAAGTTTAAACTTAGTTGATAAAACATGTTTAACTAACAAATAATCTTTTAAAATAATTGTTGCATTTTCGTCATAGCACACCAAATAATTTTTTTACAAATTGTGTTGTTCCACCTTTCCACTGATATTACTGCCGAGCTCTATCTACTCTATCCAGTACGTCCGACTTATATACCGAGATCTTGCATATAATTTTGTTTGCTAACTATCAAATATATTTAGTTTTCTTAACGTTTAGTTTTAATCCATACTGACCTCAGATATGATTTATTAAAAAATTAGATGTTGATGGTTTTATCCGCAATTAGCCCGCACCAAGGTATCATATCAGCATAATGTAATATTGGTCTCGGTTACGCCATTCACAATAATACCTTTTGGTGTCTCGATTAAGGCTCCCTTAAATATTTTCTCCGAATACTCGGTATTCTCTTAAAATATCTTCGAAATGGGTGACGTTTAACACCTGTGTTGGTGATGACATAGTACTAGGTATAAAACAACTATATGACGGGTATGTCAGAAATGAAAACGCTAATCATCTGATGGATTTCTGCAAAACAAATGAATTACGTATTGATAATATTTTTTTCCCTCGCAAAAGAACAACACAATTTTACCTTTTAAAATACCAGAGACAGAGACAGGAAGCGATCATAAGCTAATATTGTGCAAAATCCGAATGAAAATGTATATAAAAATAAATTGCAGAATAAATTGCAAATATAAGAGTTAAAAATCTGCAGGACTATTAAACAATGTATTTACACTAAAACGAATAGCAGAAAAATGCAGAAACACATGTATCATCCAAAGCGATAGAGCCTCGAAAGAAAGCTGGGCAAAAAATAATAAAAACATCTTGGATTCAGCTACAGAAGCTCTGGACGAAAGAAAGATTAATAAAACCAAGTCTCTCCCAAAGCGAAAAATTCCGTGGTTCTGTACAGAGGTGAAGGAACAATGTAAGGAAAAGAAAAAAGCTGAAGAAGTTAATGTCAAACAAGATACGACAGGCGTATGAAGATTACAAGAGAATAAGAAACGACTCACATGCACTTGTAAAAAGAGTTAAAAACGAGTACTGGGAACGTTTCCCAAAAGAACTGGAGCATGATTTTTATGGTTTTCAGTAAGAAATGATATTTATTATAAGCTTTATAAGAGGTCAACGGGCGGAGGTGAAGGAATTAACAGACCCGAAACACATCGATAAGGGTGTATAGATTGATTATATAAAGAAGTTATACCTATACAGAAGAACAACCAATAACGTTGGAACCAAAAACACCAGAAATTACCATTAACAAAGAAATTCGAATAAGCAAGCAGGAAGTAGAACAAACAACAAAAAACTGTTCTACAAAAACTCTTGAAACTTTATAGCAAAATTCAATAGAAAACAATATATAAGAGAAGAAGAAGAAAACAAGGTTATAAAAGAGCAACTTTTAGCAAAATTCATACCAAAAAATATATAAAGATTATTTATTATAAAAACAATAAATGTGAAAAAGTGAAAAACTAATAATATACTTTATCCTACGTATTATAAACTATAAAATATCTGGGACGAAAAAACGCTTTTCATACCGTGACAGTTACAATTCAATATCTCACTGTATTGTTTTATTATAATAATTTAAAGTTATGTCTAGATTGAATATCTATCATTATTTTTGAATTTAAATATTTTCATAAATTATAATAAAACACAAATCAATGTATGAGTACTTAATTGAGATGATAAAAAATTACAAAATTAATATGAGAATTTTTTAGGATGCATCTTTAAACAAATTTAATGTGACTGACTGATCGAGAATGCTCGATAATGTTTTAGTTTTTAGTATACTCAAAACTAGCGGTCTCTCGCACAGCCCTGCTTTTAGCTGGTTTCATATACTATTTTCATTTAAATGGCAACAGTGTCCTAGAAATTAGAATGACACATGTGACAAGATCAACGTACACAACTTAAAAACACGATTTTTGGTTATAAGAGTTGTACCAGTTTTTTATGACGCGAACGGTACAGAAAATATAGAAAGAGAAAAATATAAAAATTTTGTACATTTATTGCTATGCTTATTGCCTTACTTTAGCATCGGTAGCCACTACGCTAATTATATTGAAAATCCGAAGATTTTCGATTTTGTTGGTGTAAATTAATTGGTTTATTCTTATATTGAAGGCGTTCCAAAAAGGCATGGCGAGCCTTGTCAGGCTGAGGCAGTTGCTGTGGTCAAAAATCAGCTTAAAGCAATTATAGGAGCTATTGAAGAGACAGTTGATGATGCAACTGATGTAAAAGCTAGAGTGAACGGTAATACATCAAAGAAATTCCAATGATTGTAAAAATTAGCAAATTACTTCAATCACCACTCATAGATATTTGTTAAGCCGTAGAAATTTCAAACTTTGCTCTTGCTTTGGAAGAATTAGGATCGAATCATCCATATTTGATATTTTTTCCAAAGTAAAGGACGCTTGTGATAAGATTCAAATTGACTTTCGTATTCCTAGAAAACGTACAGTTTCTAGATTGGATAATAATGTTGGAAATGCATTTACAGTCAACGATAAAAAAAGAAGAAGTGAAAGTCTTTATATTTTATCCGTTTTTAGACGGAATGATTCAGTAATTAAAAGATACATTTTTCCAAGAATAAAAAAAAATATCCAGTAGGCAAAATCCTGGCCACGCCCATGGTTCTTGATGCCAATGTAGATTTCTAATTATTCGTAAATCTTTATTTTGTTCAATCCAGCTCTTTTGAATATTTTTAACATTAAACATAATAATGGCAATAATATTGGAAATATCAATTGCCATAGAAAGAAGGATTAGTTGGTTTAAATACATAGTTAGCTTAAATAAGTTGCATTGTCACTAAATTTTGTAAACATTTGGAAACCAACAATGGTTTTATTTAGACATGTTTTATTGCCCACTATTTTAAAGTTTTGTGTGTCCAGTTAAAGTTTTCAAAGTTTGGGAGATTAATATTTTTTTATTGTTGTAGGTTAGCAGCACACGAACGACAACTGTAACGAAAACGAGTACGACCACAATGAAATCGACCACAGCCAAAAAGCCAGCTGAACTTGTAAAAGGCCCCATAACCAAAACCAAAACAACCAAAATAGAAAAGCCTAAAGAAAATGGAATCTCTACCGTAGTAACGGAAGAAATAACCGTAGTAAATAACACTAACGCCGTCATCGACAACCAGATTGATAGTCAACCTGAATTGATGAAAGACAATTCCCCAATTGATAACAAACTACTTATTGAGACTACTCAACTTGTTGAAACTAACGCAGACTGAAAGAGTAATAATTAAAAAAAAAACGGTTTATTATTATTTACTTAGCTTATATTTAATATTACGAAATAACTGTTATATTTAAAATTTTTTATATACCTTTTATGCCCCTTATTATAAACTGTTTTTCATGGCGGTGTCAAGTATGTGAAGCATTTCTGAAAAATCCTGATTTTTTACATTGTGGTCCGGCAAAAAGGTACAAAGACTGTAAAAGTGTCGAATTTTTCAACTATAAGTATTTATAATATTTACGATAGGGTCAAGTGAAAACAGGTATTACTATAAATTAATATCGTAGAATTGACCAACTTCTTTCTGATCGATTTTTTTTAATAATTGATCAATTCTTGGAAAGTATTAAATCCTGTGTCTTGGGAATTTTTCTGTCATACACATGTTTTATTCACGTGATGTAATAAAAATGCTGAATGTAAATGATAATATTTTTAGTAGATTCTTTTAAGGTCATCAAATGATTCTTCCATTTTGCAGTAGCATGTACCTTTGACCTGGAATAAACCTAATATTTATACATTTTTATAAATCTTTTTTTTGGAAATACTTCACTGTTAATGTTCTACCTTTAACTAAGTGTGTATAGAGCTGTGGTAATAATTAGTAACGGATATATTTAGAAAGGTGTGGATACATACATACAAGAAGGACTTTTACTGTAACGAGAAATATTTTTAAGTTTAATATATACAAAAAAATATTAATATTAAACCAGTTGACCATATAATATGTCAATAAATATCTACATATATATCCTAAGTTGAGCTTTTTTACTGCTTAGGTGTGCTGATGTGATTGCTATGCACTTCTCTGTATATAATAATGAAGTATTTAAAGTTTATTCGTAAATTTTATAATTGGGTGCTAAATTTTTATTGTAGTGGAGCCGTGCATTCGCGATTATTATTTATTTATATTTTAAAACTTGCAATATTACATATACCGCGTAAAATTCAGATGATATGCTCTTGATTGAATAAAATATCGCTGTGGTGTTATTATTGAACACCTTTTCAATATTCTTGTTGTATTATCATTCACTTGTGTTCTTCCTACTTTTTCGCTAGTTTTCGAGTACTGGTACTGTGTTGTTCAGTCCACAGTTAGGTATTTTTACGACTGTTTTTAGAAACCAGCGTCAGGATGGCGCTGCTGTCAAGAAGGACGCAGAAAAACGCAGAGGCGTTTTACAGTAAAGAAAAATATATATAACATGACTTAAAATCGCATCGAATAATATAAGAAATTTAATACAATTTGAGAAAAACTCACTCATAACAAGTATGATATGACTATATTGATAGAATAAGAGAAGCCTTTAAGCACTGTGGCTGTTAACATCTTCAGTGCGTCAGGATGTTCGGTGCTCTGCACTTTCCAATCATCGTACTACATATTGTCAACAATAAATAAATTTGTCTTGGACGATATTTCTGTTAAGAATCCTTTTGTTAAATTGTAGTAGTTTTGTAAGTATTTTTATCGAATCTTTATCTGCTTTTTAAATTATTACGTTTTACCTTTTTAGAATTCTTATTTAATTTGTTGTGAAGCAATAATTTTTCGAGCAATATACATTTGTCCTTTCTGTGCCTTTTTACATGTTTTTGGTTGTTTTTTACGTATTTGAGGTTGCTTTTTTTGTGCGGCTCCACGAATTGGCCTTTTATAAAATACGTTGCAAAATTTATTGAAGATACTTAACCATTTTATACGTTTTAATATAATATACCTTTGATCCCTTTTAACTTTCTAAACGTTTTTTAATACTTTTAAACTGTAGTAATTTTTGACATGGAAGGAAATTAACAGTTTCACTGATTATTATTATAGTAATTAGCTATTTTTTATACTTAAGATCTTGTTTTAATGTTGAAATTTTATTATTGCGTTTGTCCTTTAGTTTGCTAATTTTATTTATTTTTTTTGTGAATTATAATACTTTTCAGCACAAAATAAAACCCATAAAAGGACATTTATATTTTTATTTTTACCTATATCAACTTCCTTGATTGATGACAAACCCATGTTGTAAAGATGGTAAAAATATCTTTTAAATATAACATCACATTTAATTGTTAACAAACAATTTACATTAATAACTACATTCCTATCCTAGTTGTTAATATCATTTTTCACTTCAAGAACTTTTCTCATTACTCTTTAAATAGTTGCAGTAAAACCGATGATCCCCTGTCACCCGTTTACCGTAACTGATTTTTAAACTATGTTTTTTCAAACATTTAATAATAATCCTTGTATCGGCATGTAAGTTATATTATTTAATTACAATTTTTACTGAATTATTGTTTTGCTTAATTTTTATTTAATTTGATAGTTAAAAAGAACTAATCCAGATGTATAAGTTATCCAAGTTGGTTTTATATAAAAACAAATCGGTGTATCCTCAAAATTTAGTTTTGGTGGTTAATAAAAATAAGTCAATTGATAAAAACGGATAGGACAAACCAGAAAATATTCACACACATTCAACACAATACACACATCAAAATAAAGTCCTTTTACTCTATGACGGCCGATATGCAATTAAGATATGTTCAGTGGGACGTTAATAATTAATTCCAGTAATAATATTGGATTTTACTGTATCAAAAGCAAATAAAGTGAATATAATATGTATATACAGGGCGTGTTAAAAGAAGTGGGATGGAATATTTCGAATACTCGAAATTATTTGTCGACATCAAGGTCCCTATTTTGAGCAGAGTGAAAATTATAAGAATGATTTTATTATATAAGTTGCTGATGTCCAAATTTGAATAAAATACATCCAAGACTTTACTTTCTGCAGACACTGTATTAAATATAACCTTGAAACAAATTGGCAGTACATCACTTTCGAGTTTTTAGCAAAACAAAATTACACGTGTAGGCCAGTAATTAATACCAAAGCTATTGAGAGTATGCAGTCAAATAATTAGACCGAAGGAACTTTATCGGTTAATTAAAACACATCACAAAGTCAGAATTAAATTCCCGAAACACTTTTTTGTTACTTCTTTTTAGCAAACGATTTGTCCTATTAACTGTCTGATATTTCACTATCAGAGTGGTCACTATCTGAATTGTCTATCCGAATAATTAGAGGCCGGACCTCATCTATAATTCGCTCGGTTTGAAAAGACTAAACGATTATGTCTTGCGTATGTCTTAATACAATTTTGCCATTGTCTTGCTTTTATTTGTTCTAGCGATTCTTTCCATAAACTAAGAACGCTAACGCCATCTGTTGTTTTGGATGCATGTTTATCATAAAAATTTTTGGCTACGCCCCAAACTAACCCAATTGCATTATAGTAGCAATGGTAGGGCGGAAGTCGAAGAAGTTCATGGCCATATTTAAGAGCCATTTGGTCAGTAACAAATTTCTTTTGTTGTCACCTGTAATCGCCTGTATTCTTTGCGGATGAAAAAATTAAACTAGCGTCAGAAATAAAACCCTCATCATTTCCAGCATGAAGTATGTATAATGTAGCGTTTACCTTGGCTTAAAAATCTACGGCAATGGACGAATATGACCTACAGTCTGTCCCAAACCCTTTTTTCAGTGCGTCACTAATTTTGACGTCATATAGGATTTAAAGAATGTCGAGAATTATTGCATGACATTTAGTTAAATCTGACAGTTGCAGGATCGTAATCGGCTAAATGTGAAAGGTTATTTTTTTTTAAATGCATAGCGTTTGTAAATTCTGTTCTATTTTATACATTCCAAGGAAAGTGCTTAATTAGCTTAGATTCGTTTATGGATTTATTATTATTTATTACAAACACACAGGCATATTGCAATGACAATTGCAATTGCAAGGCATCAAAGTAAACATTCCTGTGATAAAATAACATCGATTTAAATCAGTCATATTTGAATAAGTAATTTTCTGATAAGTTTCTGTGGCAGCCAATAGTTTAATTTTGTGAAGATTTGTCATTAAATAGTGGAAATAGTTTAAATAGTGAAGCAGTTAATTTTTGAGTTATTCTACCAGATTTGGTGTGCAAATGAAAGAAGGTTATAAAGTTTAGTTAAAAAAAACAATATAAATAGTTTAAATAGTGAAGCAGTTGATTTTTGAGTTACAATACCAGTTCCGGTATCCAGATGAAATCGTGTTAATGGAGTTTAGTTAAAAAACAAGATACCGAATGTAAGTTTACCTTCTTTTTTATGAATAACAAAAATGAATATTATATTTCAAACAATCCATAATCCCATTCAGAATCTGATTCTTTAAAATCAATGATTACACTAGATATGTGGCTGGTATCAATTATATCTTACATTTCAAGAAAATGTCGTGGTTCTAAAAAGAACCGTTTTAATACATATAAATATCCATAACGGTATTAGTTTAAGATATTTTCTCAATATCATTCCGGAATTCACAATCTGATTCGCGAACGACAGAAACTGATAATAAAGATAACTCAGCCTCTTTTTTCTAATTGAAACTAATTTAATAATTTTAATATTAGTCTTTGTTCATTCTCGGTATATCTCGGAATATTTAAAATATTTTTATGACAATAAATACAAAATTTAATTTTCACTGTAGGTAAAATGTCTGAAAATACTAACCTGGAACGGCAATTATCATTTTATCAGTTGACATTGTGAAATATCAGTTGTCAACTGGCTGAATGACTAATGTCAATGCCATTAAAAAAAAATGATCACAAGTTTGAATTTGATCTACTTTGTCGATAATAGTGACGTTAACAGAGAGATATTTATAAATAGCATGAATCATTTTTCAATGATTGTTTGGATTTAAGAAATACATTACTAAACAAATTTTTAAAGTGTGTATAAAGGAGATTACAATTATTATGACACATGGTACTGCTTATTTTTCAAACAATATGTTCTTGTAAAGGCATAACTTTGATTATTGGGTAAACTGTTTTGTATTGGTACACTGTTTAAATAGATATTTCGTACTCGTAATATTGCAATAAAATATTAA